CGAAAATAGCCGATGGAGAAGATCGCATATATAAACGAACGGTTACAGACAGAACACTGCCACTTCACAAGCACTGATGATGTCACCTCGGCTGGTGATGAAACGTTTGCAAACAAATTGCCAAGCTCGGCGAACAGGCAAAATGGAATTCAGTTCACCCGAGCTACGAAAACCGATTTTCAATATTTTGTCAATAATAATTTATATCTTGTCTACTTCGATCTATGTAGTTTCTAGTCTGCATAAGTGTCGATAAACATGTCTGACCTTGAGTGCCAAGATTAAATGATCTGAACATGGAAACCAAAAACTTTATCAAGTATGACAACGCAATATTTTCTAATGAGAATGACTCAAGAATTATCCCAAATTAATTCTATAAACCCATGCCATCTTGGTGTTTTGTTATAAGGCACTAGTTTATCTGATATATAATCCATTATAGCAACTCTATTGGATAACCAAATGAAATTCTTTCATAACCCAGAGAAATTGCATGAATAAGGTTCATAATAATAATCTATATTTGATATCTAACTCACTGAATTCGAGAAATACCACTTCAATCGCAGTCAACCTTGAAATCAAGGTCATTTTTGTGCACAGCTTTCTATGTTCGTATTGGTGTCACTATAATGAAGCAGGCAGCTCTCGAAACCAAAAGTTCCCGTTATATCAATGAAGAGGACAGAAACAGAATTGCACGAGCACACAAGCTGGGATTTTCCATATCACATCTTGCAAAATGGTTTAAAGTTAACAAAAGCACAATTTACAGGATAATCCATGGTCTAGGTCAACCACTAATAACTGGATGAGAATAGCCGCTACATTCTGAACCATTTCATCTGCTGAGTATAAACGAATCATAGAAATCACATCTATAAAGACTCGCCAAGGCTTGTCTATTATTACTTGGAAAAAAATTACTTCAGTCTAAATGCTGTTGCCTGTACAAACCGACAAGTGTTTCACAGGGACCCGTTGCTTCAGTTTTGACTAGACCTGTATATTGTGTTTGAGATAACTTGTGCCTCAACAAAGCTAACCTCTAACAATCCGCACATTTCAGGTTTTTTTCATGCAATCCATCAGAACCTTGGTCCCGGATGTGTTTGAATGGACGATCTATGACGCGCCGTGATTAATCAGCAAAGAACACAAAAAACTGTCTAGATGATGAGAGAACATAGACATGGAAACAGTCATCTTTTTCTGACCCAATTATAATTATAATAGTTCATTAGAGAAACCATCCCGCCGTATCTAATCAAATCCCTTAAGCACACATCAGTTACTTTGTAAAACGCGAACTTATCTATCGTGTTTTTCAGTTACGCAAACTTTCCTCTTCGAGAGCTGATTTCATTACTGGCAATGTGGGTGGAGCTTCTACTTCGAAGGTGACATATAACTTTTTTCTTCATAGGAGAATTTTACTAACAAAGTTACACAGTCTGGTTAGACGCTCAGTGTATATCGCGTTTATACATTGTCCGTAATTCCCCTCCTATGCAATCCTGGGGCAATAAAAACAACTCCGGAACTGACATGATAGTGCCTCCCACTCCAATTCATCAGTTTAAAGTTAATCTATTATTTTTCACTTTATTTCCTTTAGGCTAATCACGTCTAAATATGCCCGTCTCCAGCTATCATGCCTTTCAAATTTTCGTCAGTTAAATATGACCCTCAGTCAAATTTAACAAGTCAGAACTCTATGAAATGAACAAACAGATTAATCTCTTGTGATATTATTTAGATAGCAACATGAGTGTAGGGCAGTGAAGAAGCTAAATCCTACGAGCTGGAACATATTCGAAGCCGAAATCACGCAATTATGGAAGTTTGTTATGTCCTCCAAAAGCCTCATTCTGGTTAGCTTGAGTGTCACGGGTTATGGCTGGTCACCCTTCCCTTACGCCTTTCGAAAAGTTCCTATACGAAGAAGCTTCTGTATATAAAGCCCTACTCACTACCTTCCTGAAGCTTAGGTGTTTCCCATCAAAGTGATACTACGAAAAGCCAAAATGTGTGCTGTAACCGCGTTGGTGAACCACTGGTAGTTCTCCTAGCGTATTTGGCTTCAAAATCTGATTCTAAAAGAACTAACAGCAGGCGGATGAACCACGAGCACACCCAGACGTTCTTGGTTGTGATAGTAATCACCAGATCGACCGATCCTTGAGGTGTATGAGCACCTTTAACTATTGATTCCGTCCAAAGAGCGTAAGCACCAATGAACTGAACACCGACCACAAATGCAGTGCGGTTTTCATATACCACCCCGCTGCCTTGCGGATCAGTCTTTAGCAAGCCGAACGCTCCAGTTGTGAACTCCATAAGAAAATTCATTTGCCTTAGCCTGGGCATGCTGGAAATATTCCGCCCACAAACAAATCATGGATTCTTCTCTTCTTTGGTAAATATTATCGTGCCATGATTTGTTTGGCACACTCTGGACTTAGACGAGTGTGAAAATATACACATGACCCTTATCGACTGCAAATGGATGAGATCAGGCAGCAAGGAACAACGGAAACATTGATTAACAGCTGTGGTGTTTTGGGATCCAAAAGGCACTATATACGATTGATTAAAATCCAGGCGGTTTGGGGAGAATTAACAGACGTTTCTAAACGCATATAACTGGCTTTTTCTGAACCATCGATAAGGACCCCAAAATATGTAGGCGTTAGGCGAGCTCCTCAGCTCAGTTAAGCAGTAAAACGATCAATTTGGTAAATGGAACTCACCTCAGAGTGAAGATATCTTGGAGTACTGTGATTTGAGATAGAACACTGCGGTGGACATAATCCGACAGCAGACTATCAACAGGTCCGCACTGCGAATATAGTGATAATCCGAGTTTCGTCTTCGCATAAAATCCATCTAGGATAATTAGATGGACATTTATTGCTCGACGTTAAAATTTATGTTCCATGTGTTAGAACACAACACCGCTCAACTTTTAATGTAGAATTGTGGTTTTTAAGAATCCTAGGTTCTAGTTATTCGCCATACCTTTTTCTTGATTTCTTTTTCTACCATCTCTCGCGCGATTGAAATAAAAGTGTGAAGAGGATCGGGTGAGTGGCTGGGACTTCAAATGAATGAAACAAATTACACTGGTGACCTTTTACAGTCAGAAAGAGAGCCAGTGCTGAGGTTGGCCCATCTGTCACATTTGCTCTCAGTTTGTATGGTTGAATCCTTGCATTTAGCCCAAACCGGTGGATCTGTTCATCCATTTTCATTCCGATGTGACTGTTGAATAATTTTTTTAAAATTTCTTCGGGGTATTTTGACTGACAAATTATGTCTTCGTTATTATTCGTGCAATGATAATTAGCAGTGGATAGCACATGAGACATTACGCAATGAAAAACGACAATATTATGCAGCCGTGTTAATAGAACTGTTGGAAACCATTGCTACAGCTGTTCGTCGAATCCACTGACGCTCAAGCTGCGGGGAGCGGAAGGCTATTTTTTCCACGCTCCATACTCGGTACCACGTAGTAGGTTTCTCACATGGTATTATGTAGTACCTAGACGTTACTGTGCATGTTAAATTATGTTAAATTTACCGTTTTTTTTTGTAACTGGATCCTAAACCCTTCAAGTCAGAATAAAAGGCCTCATCAATTACTTTTGAAATAAGATTGAACACGTTTGACAGTGATTTCAAAGTACCTCTGGGCCGACTGATCAGGTTTTCTTTACCGTTTCAGTGTACATAGCATATTTGATTTCAGTTGTATCACTAGAATTATTGATTTGGCTATCTGAAAAGGTTCTATGAATATGGGTTTTTGAACTCTTAGTTGATCGATTCTGTAAGGTACCGTAAGCTTCAGCAGTATGGGATGGGCTTAAGCTTCAAATTCATTCTACTAAACTTCTGTATTGACTGTTTCCGGCGGACACCAGTGATCAAGCATCATTTTATCTTGCGTTTTATTCGACAAACTTGTTTGCTTTGTTTATTAATGTGGACCGCTAGGTTAGAAGTGAACTTGCTGTTTCCAATCCACTTTCAAACAGTTGGTGCACCCATCCCATGCGATCGGATTGAGAATCCGAGTAGGGAACAAGTTTCCGAAGTGAAAAAACGCTACCTGGCCAGTCTACAACAACTGTTCCGACGCTACAAAGACGCGTATGATCCGAACGCTGAGGATATCGAATTTATCTGAATCAGTATGAAAAACTCGTCTCGCATGTCAGCTCAACCCAAGTTTTGCAGAACCGTTCCAATACAGATGTATCATGAATTTTTACTGCCTTCTCATTTCTTATGTTCTTTGTTTCAATACTTCCTCCCTTTCCCGTCCACCACTGTTATTGTTCTCATGTATGTAAATACGAGTCACTACTTCCAACTGCTAAACAGATTGCTTGTTTTATTTGCTTTATTCCTTGGAACTCATACGATTAATTGTCTTTGGTTTTAATGCAATGATCAGTACGCACCTCTTAAATATTTATGAAATATTTTAAATAGAATTTGTTCAAATTATCAATAACTATTTAATTCAATCTGCTTGTTGTTTTATATTTCTCGTCTCATTATCCAGAAGGATTCACGCATGACTATGCGTGTGACTATCAAGTGAACAATGCGGAGCCTACTGACATCACCCTGCTATCAGATTGAGGGCGACAAAATGAAACATTTGGATTGTACTGTTCAAATGCACACACATATATATGTCAGAAATATATCACATATATAACAGTCACCAGCATGCAAAACATTATACCCTTCACAACTTGTAGCTGATTATCTTTGAACATTCCCATTACGGCTTTGAGAAAACGACAATGTAATTTAATTGAGTAGCAGGGGATTAATTGAGTAGAACGTGGTTTGCTTGGTCTAACTTGGACATCACGAACATTGCAGGCCTCAGATAGTTCATCTCAGCCTAACTGATGGCCAACCTTACATTTCGGAGATGGATGTACAACATATCATCTTGTGATAAAGGGAAGTCACTGAACCCAGCCCAAATACCTTGATTGTACAGTGTGAAGCGAACTACCCTGTAACGGTTCTGGTTCTTGGATGGGGACCACGGGAGTACCGTTACCGGTGGTGAGAGACAATGATTGATATGGCCGAGTTTCGCAAACAGTGTTGCTCGTGTATCTACTCATGATCTTCGTAACTTTAGTCTATACAAACTCTCTATGTTCTCTTTGATTCACTTCTCAACACTCCAGTGTTCCTTC